TTAAATAAAGGTAACTACAACATAAAAAAAGGAACTATATTATCATAGCATCAAAAAAAGAAAGTATTACCAGCTCCACTTCTGACAAATCAAAATTATTGCAAGCTATTTTCATCCACTCCTCCAATTCTTGATATACATTGTCCACTAGTTGTGAATTGTCATCACTGCCGGCAGCTTCTACTATTGTAAACTTCATAACATTTAAACAAATAAAAAAATAAGTGAAAAGTAAAAACATGTATAAACATTGAAATAATTAAACAACTCACGCTAATTGAAGAACCAAAGTACAATTTTCGAGGTCCATCCTTAAGAAATTTCTGATTTTCATTGAGAAGCAACGCCCAGCAATCCAAAATACTACTGCTCATGATTTCAGAAAGCTCTCCTAATGTGTAGAACTCTTGCCTTTGAATCAAATGATTTTCATGAAAGCATACCAATAGTTCACTGTGTCAAAGAATATAAAATAAGAATTAAAAAAGTGTTTCATAAATAAATAAAAAAAAAAAAGAAAATCAATGTAATCAAACAAAAACTTACTTACTTAGGAGGCAAACAAGAATCATTGATAATGCAATAGTCAACAATCTCTAGGACTAATGGATCCAATAGCTGCATTTCCTTGTTATTTGACTTCAAAAAATGTGAAATAACAATAAGCCTTTCATCAGATTTCCAATTAAAAGAAATCAAACACCTGAACCCTCCATTTGTAATAATATTTTCAAAGCCAATCACAGGTAAAGTTCCCCTAATTTCCTCCCTCCCTTCATTTGTCTTGTTGTGGTCAAATGCAGAAACTTGATCCAACACCTCAAGCATTTTTGTCACCCAAATAGCAAGTTCAGAGATCTCATCAATAACATATTGTACTTGAGGATCCAAAAAAAAAAACAGATCATCCTGAGACACATTAATACCAGGAGCATTGTGGATCTCATTGCGGCGTGAAAGAAGAATCTGTTTTATCTTGTCATTGTAAAAACAAGATATCACATTCATATCTCTTTTCATGAACAAAAATTGTTCATGAACAGGCTGCAAAGAGATTAAAAAAATTATGTATAAATATTTAAATCAAATCCAATAATTTTTTTAAAAAAAAGAATAAAAGTCAGTTATTCCTTACATCAATAGCATATGAATGGATCTCCTGATCTGACATCGAACCTGGTGGGAGATTAAACTGTATTGTACCAGGTACATCATTACCCTCCCTAACATTTTCAACATTTCCCACACTTCCCCCTGTAGTACACACAGGAGCATCCTGAAAATTCAGCTTACGACTAACAAGATACACATCACAGAGCAAAATCCCTGACCCAAAACTTTTCGACAATTTTTCCTTCTTAATTCTGTCCCTAATCAACTCATCATTCCAATGTTCAATTAAGGGTTAAGAAGTACTTAATTCAACATTCCTAAATTTCAACCTATGAAAGTAAATAATCTCCAACATCAAAATACAACCACAACAGTTTTGAATTTCTCCTTTTTGGTAACTTTTAACACCTTCACACGGTTTTTCAAGAACATATTTACACCAATTCAAATTTTTAATTTGTCCAACATCATCAAGTGCCTTAGCAATCCTAAGATCAGCAGTTCGGTTAGAAGTAGGAGCCAAAAAAGAGGATACTACATGCATAACAAAGAGTTGCTTAAACTCATCTCCACCTTGATCTAAAGTAGGTATCATATCCTCTAACAAATTAAGTGGAATTTGGTCATTTTCATCTGCCAACCCAAAATTCAACCTCCAATTATGTTTGAAAACAAAGTCAGGATTACTTTTATTAGCAGATCGAGGTATCTCCTCAACATTACTAGGGTTCAAAGGAAGGCAAAATACATCATACATATCATATTCAGTGACCACAAACTCCTTACTATTGTCTATTGAAAACATGCAGCTACCACAGTCAAAACAATCAATTAGCCACCTATACATACTAGTAGGATTCTTTTTCAACTTCAATGATAACAGCCCTCCAAAGTCGATTTCATTCACAGAAATTTTTTTATCATCAGTAAAGTTAGACATCAAATCAACCAATTGCAAAGGCCTACATTTAGTTTTAAATGGACGCAATCTGCAAAATAGAAATAATAATGCACAATCACACAAACATGCATGTTGAATCTAATTTTTTGAGAACACTCCAAAGTAAACAAAGTTACTTACGTAGGTACATCACCACCAGCTTCAACTGTTGATTTATTCATTCTTATCCTTTGCCTCTTAACACTAACAGGAGCAGTAGCTTCAACACTAGGTTCAGGTTCATCTTCACGAGTTCTCTTTTGCCGAGACGAAGGTGAACCAGTTGCAGGAACCTGATGCTCATGAAGCTCTCTGGAAACATCTTGTTCAGGAACATTCTTTTTCTTTTTAGCTCTAGTATTCTTCTTCAAGCCTTTGGCAACATTTGTATACAAAAGAAATCAAAATGTATATTATAGTAACCTTACTGAAACAATAATGACCAGAAAATACAAGATACAAGATACAAGCTCATTCAATTGCCCTTCCCTTGCAAAAGAGAAAGCATGAACAAGATACAAGCACTCAACAAGTATTATGATTGAATAAACAGCTAGTAAATAATCTGGTTTATAAATTGTCACTGAATAATATCATAAACTTTATTCAAACAATTTCAAGCATTAAGCATGAATCCACAATTCCTTAGTTTTACCTAATAAGCCAAGGCCTCATCAGTTGGACAATTTTTATTATTATTGAATATAAAGCACAATTCACAAATCATACATGAAACATATTGCTATCAAGATTACATTCCAACAAATTGTTACTTGTTAGTACTAACAGGAACCAATCAAGTGACAGTTAGCTAGTTTAATGCTCATTCTTTTCAAACTTCTAACTAGATACATTAGACAAACATATAATCTATAAAAATTACTATCCCAAAACATTTAAATATATCATAAAGTAGAAAATAACAATTAGTCAACTCAAAATTGCACAAATCATCATCATGAACAACACATTATCAATAAAATTGAATGAGAAAACAAAAAACAATCAAAATTGAACAAAATAAGAATCAAACCTCACAAAACCCTAGATCTTCACTACGAAACAAAATTCATGCAAATAGTTCAATTAAAGAAAAACAACAATTAATCAGCTCAAAATTACACAAATCTTAATCGAGAACAACACATTAACAATAAAATTGAATGAAAAAACAGGAAACAATTAAAATTGAAAGAAAATAAAAATCGAACATCGCAAAACACTAGATCTTCACTACGAAACAAAATTCAAACAAAAATTCATACAAAATTCATGCAAATAATTTCAATTAAAGAAAACAACAATTAATCAACTAAATATTGCGGAAAAAAAGATATAAACGAAGATTACCCGAAGGTTGTGGTTCGTTGACTTTTGTAGCAGAAGAACGGGGGCCGCGTTTTCATTGAAATGTAGCACCTCCTCTGGTTCTCGCCATTGAAGAACTCGAGCTGAGGAGAGAGAAAATGGAAGAAGGGAAGAGAGAGAAAGTGTCAGATTAATTGAGAAAATAAAGGAAACAATTAATTTGGTAATTTGGAGCAATTAATATGTTAGAAAAGATAGGAGAGGAGAGTAAATAGCTCAGCTGAGAGTGACTAAAGTCACGTGATAAATTTGGTCCACAATAATGTTATTGTGGATCAGGTTTATTTAAGAAAAATACCCATAGTAGTAAGCACAAAATTATTACTTCGTGTTTCTTTTTTTTGTTGTTGTTGGCAGTAGTGTTTTATATTATTATTAGTTGTACTTCATATTTATTAATTATTATTACGGAGTGTTATACACCAAAGATATTTATTATTATTATTATTATTATTTCACAAATTTTCCAAAAAAAAAAGAAGGGTGTATGTTAATTTATTATTGTAAAAGTTATCTTTAAAATTTAAAGTTACCCTTTATACTTTAAAAATTATTATTTGTCTAATAATAAATTTTAGTATGTAATTATGAATCTATAAGAAATTACACATTAAAATAAAATTCAAACCAACAATAAATTAAAAGTTATCTTTTAAGGGGTGAAAATTACCATAAAAATAGTTAAAGTTATTCTCAAACCAACCATATTACAATAAAATTAACATACATCCACCCTACACAAACTTAATCGTCTTACAATAAAATTAATGTACATCCACGTTACACAAGACTTATCCTCAAACTAACCGTCTTACAATAAAATTAATGTATATCCACCTTAATTACACAAGACTTATTGAAAAATTAACGAGGGTAATATTAATTTTAGGGTTTGTTTACATTTACTGAACTGAACTGATTGGAGCTGAACTGAATATTTTATGAGAGAAGGAAATTAGGAGCTAAAATGCACTAAATCGAACTGAAGTGATTGGAGCTAATTAATTTGAAATAAGCTGACGTGAACAGACCCTTAGTGGATTGTTAAACACCGACATAAAAAATGATCATCACCGCCGACATTTGGTGTGAATGGTCAATCATATACATGTCCGTATTACCATCCCTTATCCTCCCTTGCGACTCACCACCTCTTTTGATCGACGACGACCACCACCACCCTGACCGGCGACCATACCTCAATGCAACCCACCACCTTCCCACGCCGGTAAAAGTTGGTGGTTTTCTTTTTATTTTCGTCAATCGCGGTAACCGGAACCAGTTTTGTGCTTCGGTTACCGCGGTTGCTGGAAATAAAAAACCACCACCTTCCCCATCATTAAGGGGGATGTGGTGGGTCGCCTTTCAAGGTGGTTGTGATCGTCGCCAGTCAAGGTGGTGGTGTCAAGATGTTAGTGAATGGTAGCAAAAGGGGAGATAGTGGTAAAATACTAAAGGTATAATTGTCCATTTATACTAAATATTGTCGATTTTGATCATTTTTTACGGCGGTATTTAACACCTCCTAATTTTATTGACTTATTGCTCATGAAAAAACAAAAGAAAATACAAGTACGAAGTAGTCCATAATCTCAAACAATAAAAGTGGAAAATCGAGAAAACCCTAAGACCCTTTTACAACACAGCCGTCCCCTTAGTTTTCTAAAGCTCATTCGACGGCGGTGTGAGCTTTTCTCCTTCAGATCCACCCCAGATCCCCCTTCATCTTTTCCAGGTTTTTCTCTCTCCTCCTCTTTTTCTTAAATTCATCATCTTTTACTGCTTGTGTAAATTCCAAAATTTGGGGTTTTTATGTGCATGATTACAATATTATCATCAGTGTGATTGTCTGGTTTTGTGTGGAATTGGTGATTTTGTTCTTATGGCTTTTGTTTCTGTAGATTTCATGATGAAAGTTTGTATCTTTCTGTTCAGCTTGAGTTGTTTTTGGTATAAAATTGCTGAATTGAATTATTTTTTGAACGGATTCATGTTGTAATTGATTAAATTTGCGTTAAGGGTTGAAGAATTATGGTATATTATTATTGTTATTTGCTTCAATTTTGTTGGTTAAATTGCATTGCACCCATTTGAGTTGAATTTCTGAGTTAAAGATTTTACCTTTTTTAATCTATGCTGAAAAGGGTTTTTTAGCGATTGATCTTATTCTATGTAGCTATATGAGTAAGTTTTTGTGTTGATCTTTGTGATTTGGAGTATTATCAAAGAAAAAAATTGTGGGCGAGAAAGGGATATTGGGTATTGATGCTAGGAATTATTGAAGTATGGAAATTCGGTTGGTAGCAAATCAATTCAGTGATCGATGATTTGGTTGTGTGGAAACCATGAACCCAGATTAAGGTTTGTAGGGAGTTGTGAGAAATTAGGAAATTCAGTCGGTAGCAAATCGATTCAGTGATAGATGAATTGGTTGTGGCGCAATCATAAATCCAGATTAAGGTTTGTAGTGGAGTTTTGGGAAATTATTTTAACTTTAATTCTATTCCAGCCTTCCAGGGAGATATAATCTTGCCGCGTGTTGCCAATTAAAGTTCTTGTTAACCAAGCTAATGATAGCACCAAAGGAGCAATCCCCTATTTTATGAAGACCTGTGTTGACCAATTATTTCCTTTGTGGATTATGTTTGTTATGTACTCGTAACGCTCTTTCGCTGATTATATGAAGTCACCTAGGACACCAACCGTTTTCGATACTGGATTGCTGACTTGTTACCAAATGTATTCGACTTTCTATTTAATGGTTGTTTAACTTCTAGAGTTGGAGATTCTGCTGGTCATCATTACTTCCTTTGTGGATATGTTTGTTATGGACTCGTAACGCTTGTTCGCTGTTTATATGAAGTCACCTAGGATACCAACCGTTTTCGATAGGGATTGATTTGCTACCAAATGTATTGGACTTTCTAATTAATAGTTGTTCAACTACTAGAGTTGGAGATGGTGCTGGTCATAATTATGAGAGTATGCGATCATTGTGATTATATGTAGCTTAGGTTCATCTGTTATTAAACTTTTTTTTTTTTGAAACACATCTGTTATAAAACTTGAACATTTAAAAATTGTTTGAAAATCTTAGCCAAATCAGTAATTAGTAGTTTGCCTTATAATTTTAATGTTTTGGCTTTGTGACCTATCTTTATATTTTACTATCTTGAGAAATAATGCAAAGTATATACTTTTTAGTTCACCATGTAATTGGTACCTGGTGTGAGTGGTTTCATATTACTGATTGAGGGAGGCTTGTTTGTGCAGGTGAATATACCCAAAATTCTGGTTTAAGATGTCGGACAGCCATGAGACTGACAAGAATATTGAAATATGGAAGATCAAAAAGCTGATCAAGGCATTGGAAGCTGCCAGGGGGAATGGAACAAGCATGATCTCCCTCATCATGCCTCCGCGTGATCAAGTTGCTAGGGTTACAAAGATGTTGGGTGATGAGTACGGAACTGCTTCCAATATCAAGAGTAGGGTGAATCGTCAATCTGTGCTAGCAGCTATTACATCTGCGCAACAGAGGTTGAAGCTGTACAACAAGGTTCCTCCTAATGGGCTTGTTCTATACACCGGAACCATCGTAACCGATGATGGTAAAGAAAAGAAAGTAACCATTGATTTTGAGCCCTTCAGGCCAATAAATGCTTCCCTGTATTTGTGTGACAACAAATTCCATACAGAAGCATTGAATGAACTACTTGAGTCTGATGATAAGTTTGGCTTTATAGTCATGGATGGTAATGGAACCCTATTCGGTACTCTGAGTGGGAACACCAGGGAGGTGCTTCACAAATTTACTGTTGATCTTCCAAAGAAGCACGGTAGAGGAGGACAATCTGCATTACGTTTTGCTCGTCTTCGAATGGAGAAGCGGCATAACTATGTGAGGAAGACTGCAGAACTCGCCACTCAGTTTTTCATTAATCCTGCTACAAGCCAGCCTAATGTTTCAGGACTTATACTTGCTGGATCAGCTGACTTTAAAACTGAGCTCAGTCAATCTGACATGTTCGATCCTCGCCTTCAGGCAAAGATTCTAAATGTTGTAGATGTTTCTTATGGTGGTGAGAATGGTTTTAACCAGGCAATAGAGCTGTCTGCTGAAATTCTTGCCAATGTGAAGTTTATTCAGGAGAAGAAGTTGATAGGAAAGTACTTTGAGGAGATCAGTCAGGATACAGGTAAGTATGTTTTTGGTGTTGAAGATACACTCAAGGCTTTGGAAATGGGGGCTGTTGAGATTCTCATTGTCTGGGAAAATCTTGATATCAATAGATACTCACTCAAAAATGCCTCAACTGGTGAACTTATTGTAAAACATTTGAACAAGGAGCAAGAGGCTGACCAGAGCAATTTCCGGGACTCAGAAACTAATGCTGAGTTGGAGGTGCAGGAAAAAACTTCTTTGCTGGAATGGTTTGCTAATGAGTACAAGAATTTTGGATGCTCCCTTGAATTTGTAACTAACAAATCCCAAGAAGGATCGCAATTTTGCAGGGGTTTTGGTGGCATAGGAGGAATTCTCCGTTACCAACTCGATATGCGATCCTTTGATGAGCTTTCTGATGATGGAGAAACCTATGGAGATTCAGATTAATCAATCATCAGCTTGGCATTCCCATGCCCAACAACTTGAGCATCAACCAGACCGAAGTAAGTAGTTGATAAGTTCATCGCAGTTACGTTGCTGCTCAGGTTGTCCTCTGAGAATTTCTACAGAGTTGTTCCATTTAAGGTTTAATTAATCAATTTCAACATATTTCATATAACGTTGTGTGTAATACCTTTCTCGAGATCCCTTTAGAATCTAGAATTCTTGTGCTCCGAGAATACACCATTGCGTCTTGAGGTTGACCATACCTGAAGTGATTTTGATTGAGATGTTGAATGAATCATATTGTTGTTTGATATCATAGAATTCATTGCATGAGGTAATGGTATAAAGATGTCGTTTTTCTTTTGCTTAGGATCCCTTTTTTCTTCTGAGCTTTGTTGATTGATGTAGTGAAACAGTTATCCTAGGTATGTTAGGTCAAGGGGTTGATTCGCCCTTTGCTTTAAACATTTCTATGTTAGTGTTTTGGCAAAAGATTCATAGTTTGAAGCTGAATGCTCAAGTATAGAAAATGTTTCTTCTTTATTCTCTCGCAATAGTCAATTACTTTCAACATAGTGCCGTAGTTGTATATACTTTCGTATTGATCGTTTTGAATTCGTTTATTGTATGCTATATTTTCTTTAATTTTGAAAATAGCCGAAAAAATACTTATTTTTGCTTGGTTCAATTGGATTTAAGGAATGATACTTATATAGCCGACAGTGTATTGGTTAAATCCTTACTTATTTCTAGTTTCACCATTCTCCCAAAATCCTACTCCGTATTTCATTCTTTAGTAAGCATTCGTAATTTACTGTTATCACAGAGGGAACATTGAACAAAACTACATTGACATTGTTTGCATAGTTTTAAAAAACCATTGTACTCTCTCCGTCCTTTTTAAATTTTCCTATCTGAGTATTTGCAATGCGGTCTAACTGGTAAAATTTTGTGGGCTGCCCGGGTTTATCAATTTGATAAACAATTGAAGTTTATCAAGGGGTAAAAGTATCATTTTCAGTTGATAATGAAAGGTGTGTATGTAATTTGATAATCACATTTAACTAGTTATTGTTCCCATCTTCATCTTCTTCATGTACTTCCCACAACAATAGAGACTTTGTCTCTTCCCCACCTACCTTCATCTTCTTTGCCTCCTTCAAGTTGCTGATATGGAGATTTCGCCAACCTCAACTACCATCATTTTCGGCGGCTTTGCTACCAAATTAATCGAAAACCCTAAGATAAAATGGAGAAATTAAGGGTACGGCTAGGTGTTTATAGATTGCTTGTGAGCTTTTCTTCCCCCATTGAAATCTCCATTGAAGTTGGTCTAACCTTCTTCCTGACTAAGTGGATGTTTGTGAGTTTCACTTCCATCAAATAACGCCGTGAAGAGTAATGTTTTGACAGTTGTACATAAGTACTACACTGAGTTTTTTATTATATAAGCTTAAATTTCAAGACCAAATATTTACATAATTGCCATTTGATAAACATGTCCTGTTTATCAAATTGATAAACTTGTATTTCCTCAAAATTTTGATCATTAACATTTTTAAAATCATATTTGTAAAATATTAAAAATACGAAGCAGAAATTCAGAAACTACTCTACATATTTAACCAAATTCCACCATATTTTATACGGAGTATGATATTTCTTCGAGTAAAGCATAAATACGGTCCCTGAACTATTGTATAAGGGTAAGTTTTAGTCCCTCTCAACTCTTTTGGAGAGTTTTAGTCCCTCCCCCACCTTGAAAAGCATTTTCCAGAAAAAAAAAATTTAGGGACTTAGCTGACTAAGCATTAGTTTAGGGACTATGACTCAGCAAATTAGTTTAGGGATGTTGATTCATCAATAGTTTAGGGATGTTTAGTCAGATTTTTATTTTTAAATAATTTTTCAACCAAAAATCTTCTGCAAGCTTCATTATTTAACTGAGCTTGATTAAGACCGATGATTTTTTATTTTAAAATAATTTTTCAACCAAACTTCTGATTTCTGGGCTTTCTACATCGACTCCTCATTCTCTCACTACAAATTCCTTGGTTATTTTATTTGTATTTTAAAGTCTGGATTTTAGCCGAGTAATTAATTTTCTAGATATTTTCAGTTTTTCAATCGTCTGCTAAATGCTACTCCCTCCGTCCCTAAATTACATTCCTACTCCTAGCATTTATTCCTCACATAATAGAGAGAAGTGGGAATGTAATTTAGGGACGGAGGGAGTAATGTTTCTTTTGAGTGATTTTTTTTTTATTCTTCATTTTTTTTCAATTGATTGTAAATTACTTCAAACCTTGGATTTTTGCCAACTAATTAGATTTACTTGGGTCTGACATTGGCATTTTGAGGGGAAAAATTGCAGCAATTGAGGTGGTGATTTTGCATGACTACTACTACTACTATTCAAATTGGACGAATGATGGTGACTGCATCTATGCCGCGATTAAGTGCTAGCAGATGGCGCAGCGAAGCGATTTGAGGTGATGGTGGGTGCCGCTGCAAAGCCTGCAATTGGGCGTGAATCAATTTCAAGCATCATCTTTTTTAAGTCGGCACAATCAAAATAAATTGTTTATAGTCCACTGTCAATCAATTAATTTTACGCTTTTTAATTGATGTAAAATTAACTCTAATATGTATAATGTATTCATGTTACCAACAATCATTCTATTAACATACTGGAAAAACAAATTAATAGATTCAATAGGTTACCCAAAAAAACGGAACTATAAACAAAAATTGCTTAGCTATGTACTGGTTGAAAACATTAATCAATGAAGTCCCTAAACTATTTGCTTTGTCAACGTCCCTAAACTATTTTCTAAATTGATGACTCAACATTCCTAAACTAATTTGCTGAGTCATAGTCCCTAAATTAATGCTTAGTCAGCTTAGTCCCTAAACTTTTGACTAGAAAACACCTTTTAAGGTGGGGGAGGGACTAAAACTCTCCAAAAAGGTTGAGATGGACTAAAACTTACCCTTACACAATATTTCAGGGACTGTTTTTATGTTTTACTCATATTTCTTCTTGTATACATTACAAAATGTGGTCCAAGGTTTAAAGTTTGACCAAATGAATAGTAAATAGGAAGATTATAAATAATTTTTTTAAAAAATTGAGTATAAGATGTTATAGTTTATGTTATTACGAAGTATACATTAGCAATCACGAGCGAACTTTGTTGTTGGATATACGAGTTATTCTTTGATTTAGGCTATGCTTAATTCATTTGATTTTATATGATCTAATCAGATTTTTAAATTTGACCAAATTTTAACCTTATTAATACACTATATAAGATCAAAATTATCAAATGAGTTGTCATTAGATTTTTATAATATGCATTTTCAAAATATCAAATTTTCATATAGTTTTAGCAATAAAGTAAAGATATTTTAACGATAAATAAACCCTAAATGAAAAGGAAAAAAAAATTAAGATCTATCTAATTAATTTCTTAAATGACCAATTATCAACTTAAATAAGTTAGAACTAAACATAGCCTTAGGCCCCGTTCTTTAGAGCTACTTTGCTCTGCTCTGCTCTGTTTTGCTGAAATCTGCTCTGCTCTACTCTGCTCTGCTTCAATCTGCTCTGCTCTGCTATTTTCTGTTATGCTCTACTTAAAATTAATACTTAATATAGAATTATTATAATAATAATTAATATTTAATAATAATAATAATTAATTAATATTTAATATTTAATATTTAATAAGAATAATAATAAATAATTAATATTTAATAATAATAATACTTAATACTTAATAATAATAATAAAAATAATTAATTATTGATATTTAATAAAAAAAATTAATTATTAATATTTAATAATAATAATAATAAATAATTAATAATTAATATTTAATAATAATAATAGTAATAATAATAGTACTTATACTAATAGTAATAATAATACTTATAACTAATAATATTAATTATAATAAAAATAATTGATTTTTATAATAACAATTAATATTAAGATAATAACTAATATTTAAAGATAATACTAATTATTAATTTATAATAATAATAATAATAATAATATTAATTAATATAATAATAATAATTAATATTTAACTTTAAAAATTTAATGATTATAATAATAATACGATAATATTAGTAATAATAATAATAATAATAATAATAATAATAATAATAATAATAATAATAATAATAATAATAATAATAATAATAATAATAATAAAATCTGCTATGCTATGTTTGGCTCTGCTGAAATCTGCTCTGCTATGCTGAAATCTGCTCTGCTATGCCCAGAAGTTCAAAAGAACAGGGCCTTACTCGGTTGACAATGATGATGTTGATGTTATCATATAAGGCTCTAATGCATTCTTAATCTTCCCTAAATAGGCTTCCCTAAACACTTGAACAAACTCTGCATATTTTACACTCTTATATATTGGAGGATTTTCAGCATTAATCAATGCTTTCGCAGGCTCCACAATGCAGTCTCCCTTAGGCTCTATGAAGAAGGCAGCAGTCATCCGAGTTTCATCCTTGTTCGTTACTGCTCGATGCTCCACACTATGCAGCTTACCATTGCTAACAATCTATAGCAAAATTTGACAAGGAACTATTGTTAATACAGTAGTAACAATTTTTGAAGAAAAGAATCAATATATGTACCTGTAATTGGTATCCAATGTTAATAACAAATGCATCAAGAATTGGCTCAACGCCGATCCATTGGCCATCCGTCAATGTCTGAAGCCCCGCGACAGTTCCTTGGAGAAGTATGGTGATGAGTCCTGTATCACAGTGCGGTCTGAGTCCCAAGGTTAAACTAGGATCAGGGCATGGAGGATAACAATGAATGCTCAAATATTGTTCTTGACTCAATTCATTCGCGAAATATCCTACTCCAAGCTTTAGTCCTTCACTTATGAGCTCCAGAATTCTTGTTCCCATCTCATTAACTTCAGTTACATACTTCCCCACAACCTCCCTGAAATAGTATATGTCATACTTCGTACATATTTTTTACAAGCATACTCATAGATTTTATGCAATGTTCAGGAAATAACCTGTATTTGGTTGGTTTTTGTGGCCAAGAATGGATGCATTCTTCCAGAGGAGAGCAAAAATGCCGTAAACTGTCTCTCCAAGCATGAATGTCTTCTTCATCATACACGACATTGCTTGTGTAATATATGCACTTCTGACTGATATCAGATGAACATAATTTCAGTTTTTCCTCTGTTGGAAGATCAAAGAAGTCTTGATAAGCAGTTCTCGCGTCATCAATTACTGTCTGCGGAACTCCATGGTTAATCACCTTTCATACACAAAACAAACCAACTAAAATGAGCATAATAGTAATGAGCTTATTTCATACCATGACATCAGTATAAAAAAAAAAAAAAAAAAAAAAAGGTACACTCTATGTAACAACTTAAATCAGGGGTGTGCAGAAATGGACCTGAAAGAATCCGAACTCCTGGCTAGCCTCTATAATCTTTTGAATTGTTTCTTTGCGATCAAGCCCTACCGCCTTTCCAAGATCAATGACCGGAATATTCTTGGAAACGGGAACATGCTCCCCGGGTCTCATTTCAGTTGAAAATACATAATTTTCAGGCAGCGTCTTACCATCAGACCAAGTAGAAACAAACTTGTCCATCTTTTGTTATGATCTGCAAAAAAATTTACCCTTAAAAAAAATGGTTTCTTGAAAATCTTAACTACTTGTAGCATCTATTTGAAATTTTGAAGTGTTAGGAAAAACATACTAATGCACAAAATTATAGAAAACTAATACTTACTCAAAATAAAAATAATAAGCCGCATTTTAATGTTTCAAAAAAGAGACATGTTAGGAAGTATTGGGAGGAATATTAGGAGAATATTATTCATATTTATCATATATTTAGTTTCCTGATTTATAGCCTTTGATTGACACAAGACAAGATAATTGATAGAATAACGGTTATTTATACAGAGTGTTTGATATATAAAGTTATAATGGTTATTTATACAGGGTGTTTTATATGAGGGATAAGGATAAGCGGAAAGGATAAGGATAAAATAAGGTGTTATTGTTTATTTGGTACAAAGTACGGAGTATAAGTTAGGCAGGTTAAGAGTTGGATAAGTAACAAAGTTACTAATATACCCTAAGTAAACTTATCCTTCTCTTTTACTTTTTCCTTTTTATTAAGAGTAATATGTGGCATTTTAAGCCGGTTTAGCAACTACCAAATGCAAATCACATTAAGAAACCTAATCCAACTACTTAATTGTGCACTCACATCTTAAACATGATATTAAGGACATTTTTGGAGTAAGGGGAATGAACGGAATTATGATTTAATGAGAAATATGATGTGAAAATGTGAAATAAATAAATAATGGTACAAGCCACATTATGGATGGTTAAATATCATTTCAAACAGGATATATGGGTCCCTTCCAAACAAAGGTTGATCTTCTAGCAAAGTATGATATACTTCGTTGGTTTTATGATATATGGAGTAATTATAATGTAAAATTTATGGGAAATTATGTTATATCACACATTAACACTTTAAATTATATGAGCTTTTCTTTTCTTAATTGTCTGTTTTAAGATGAAGCATGAATTTCACCCTTAAAAATTTTCCTTATGTATATATAGAAATTGGACATAAGAATATTATTCACATAAATCATGTCGCATTTGAGGTTGATTTCAGGGCTTTATCTTGCTTTCTTTCCTTATGGACAACAATTTTATTCCCCAATAAAACCAAACACCCTATATGGGAGTAAAGAAGCTTATAAACAAGCTAGGCATTGTGGATTCCAGCTTATCATTTGTCCTCTCAAAGTTCTTTTTTAAAAAGAGATGTTAAATTCATACTCTTTGCTTTAACATGCTCCTTTGATAAATTGACACGTGGTTTACAAATGTACGTAATACGTAATAGTTGGATGAAGATCATGAAATGAGTTGTTTAATACTACCTTCTTTAACTATTATTTGTAATAAATGAATATTTTATATCTCATAAATAATACCCCTTTGTTGCAAATAATAGTTAACGGAGGTAATATAAAGTTAGTCAACTTAATTTACAAAAATGAGTTGTTTAATATAAAGTTAGTGAACTTAATTTAAAAAAGATTTTATTTTTTAAAAAAAATATATGAGAACTGAGAAGTTATTGGACAATGAGGGCTATGGTAAATATAATTAATAAAAGGAATTCCTTGTATTTATAGTAGTTTTAAATTATTTTAAAACGATTAAGAAAGAAAAGGTGTGTCACTTCTTCCGAAATTAAGGAGGTAAAAATATTGTACAGTCTTACTCTGTTATTCTTTATGAGGAAGCTATTTTGATTTTTCAAATGTGGAAAAAGGCCATATACAAAGCATGCACAAAGAGCATGAGTTTTACAAGAAACGAAAAGCATGATCTTTATGAGGTTGGCTCAACCCAGCACGGTGCTGGACCAACACATGGGTAAGGAGGTCATTTTCACATTAAATGAAAGTATTGTGGTAGTATTGACACTGTTCATACATATATCTATATAACTATAAGAGAATTATCTATTCGTTTCATTATGTATATTCCGTTGGTCATCTTCCCTAATTTTATTTGATTTTCCGCTTTATTCTCTCTCCTCAATGCTTCCTCTTCTAAGCCACCATTAATGGCCTTCCTCTACCACCAAATTCTTGCCCGTTCCCCCTCCTATCAACTTGCTGCCCTTCTTTCTTCCCTTTTTCATTTTTCTTCTTTTCGACCACCCAGCCGTTTTCTGGGTTTTCGATGACGGGTGGGTTTTGAAGATGGGTTTTTTGGTTGTGTGGATGGCCTAAGGTGGTCGAAATCAAGGATGGGTGGGTTTCGAAGGAATATACGTAGGACAATAACACCAAGATACCTGACAATATAATTGTTTACATGACAGATGACAATAACTGATCTCTATTTTCATAAGACAAATAGAAGCAAAATATGTCAATAACGTATTGAAATATGACAATATAAATGTTTACATGACAATAAAATTTAACTATGTCTACCATTTCCCTATGTCCTAAACCTTATACCTAATAGTCCATGTCATCAATCCAAACCTCCCAAAATAGGCAACGATCCAATAGTCCATGTCATCAATCTAAACATCCCAGAATACCCTAATCACAAACAGCCAATAAATATGATAAAGGAACCACTCATCCATGTCATCAATCCAAACCTTCCAAAATGGACCAATCACAATCATTCCACGACATAAAGAACCAATTACCTTTATTCTTGATCAGCTACGTAGATTCAGCTATTCAGCTGATAGAGCCCAAAATACTAAGTAGTGGGACAACTCAGCAAATTAAGAGACATGGCAGGATTATGATACAACTAATTACTGAGAAAATGCATAATCAAATTTTTAAAAAGGTTTGCTAACAACAGTAATTTACAACTAAATAAATGTAACGACAGTAAACTAATCTGACAATGACAGTAATTTACATTCAATTGACAACAATTTATTCACTTATGAAAATAACTGTTACAATTATACTAGAATCGCTAACAACTTTTGAAGTGAATTATTATTGTTACAGGGAATTTTCTTTTAATTAATATTCAAATAGGATTGTTAAATGGTTTGTTACTCAATTAGGATTGGTAATTGGATGTGACTTTGTTACCCTAATGGAATGCTTAGAATCAACTACATTTAACAAAGTCTAATAAGTTCAAGCCAACTCAATTCCTAACAAGTTCAGTTCAGTTCAATTAAGTTCAACTCAAATCAAATCCTATTGAATTGTTTATGGTATTGTTTATGAGAGAAGGAAATTAGGAAACGAGAACTAAACTAAAAGCTAATTGGACCTGAACTGAACTTAACTTAAGCTGAAGAGAAGAGACCCTTAATCCTAAATGAATCCTTTGAAGAAGCCTTTAATCCTAATTGAATCCTTTTAAGGCCCCTTTATCCAAATTGAATCCTTTGATATTCAAATGTCGATTAACATTCTTTAACAATTTTAATTATAGTTAAACACTATTAACAATGTAATTGAAACTCAAATTGAATCCTTTGAAATTCAATTTAAACACTATTAACATTCCTCATTATAGTCAAACATGTAGGAGTTTATAGGTACTAATTGCGAAAAAACATGAATCATATTCATACAGCACCTAATCCCAAGATCTAATGCATAATGTTTTGGGTGTTTTTGTCCCTTGGGAGAGTTACAACACGAAGACTGATCCGCTGTGAGCTGTACCTGCAAAACAAACGGAGACACCGGTTGGGTGGTGCTCCGCCTCCGACGCACAAGTTAGTAACTTGAAACGGAATAGAGAGGACGGAAATTTAAGTGGGTATCTGCTCGGATTCCAAGCTCAGGTCTTTCTCTGATGTAAGAGAATAAGTGTGTAATAAATGATTCAATGTGTCCTCAAAAAGAGAGACATCTCCCTATTTATAGGGTCTTTGGAAATTGCCCCTGATTAGGTCACTAAACCCCTATCATTGGTGGGTTGCGCCGTTTTCCGGCGTTCTCGGGATTTGGGCCTGATGGCCGCCTTTTCCCCTTTATTTCTGGAATGACACGTGTCAAGCATAGATTGGTCCATTTTGGACCAATCTGAGGCTGACACGTGTCACCCTCTGATTGGGCTACGTGGCAGGGTAAAAATACCCTAAACATTTGCCCCTCACAGATGTGACGTGGCTCGCCACGTGGCATCTGTGACACATGCCACGCTCCGGTTGGCGGTAATTTTACCATTAAAGAGTAACCGTTCACCTTCCGAGTAAATACGGAAATGCCCCCAAATTTACCCTCTATATATAGCCGTTTTACCCTCATAATTTTGTACGTTTACAAAAATTTCCTAGAGAGCAAAACTTTGAGAGAGCAGAAGTCATCCATTTGAGTCAGACGCGAGTAAGAAAGTTTGTTCTTGGACGACCCAGCCGGACCCGCCTTCCTTCAGATATCAAATCCAAAGGTACCGTCTCTATCTCTCTCAGCTCTTTTCTTTTTTCACCGCTTGTACATATTTCTTGCAATAAATGGATGCATCACCAACACACACGGCACAGCCTAGGTTAGAGTACAGCCGGTCACCAGGGTCGGCTGAGTCTAGGACTGGGAGTGCCGTCTCGGGGTGTTAGGACCACCCTTTGCCTTGGATTCCGACCAGTTATGTGTCTGTACAGGACACCATGGCTCGGACAATGCAGACGGCAACGGATCTAAATTACAAAAGCGAAGGCTCAGGCGGCCAAAAGCCTAAGGGAGAAACGTCTGGTCAAGGAGACCAGACGGCTCTGGAGAGATCCCCTCCTCGCGCCCCTTCAACCCCTGCTGACTCTTTCTTGGAAGAGTGTGACCAAGGCGGCGACGAGGTCGTCTCTACCCCCTTGGGTCAAAGCGAGGAGGAGACGGAGAGCGACAGCTCCGCCTCTACCTCTGAAAGCAGTGATGACTTACCCCCGCTTCCTGATAGCGAGGAGGAAGAAAGGAAAAAGTGGAGCGAAAAGGATGATCCCTTCAGCATCCACGTCTCTTCCAAGAACCGGATCTAAATGGAAGAAAACTTAAAGAACTTTACGAAAATGCACCCGCTAGGAGACGGGTATAGGATCCGGATGCCGCCTGAGAATGGCACCATCGCCTGGGAGGACGATGAACAGAACGCCAACAACTATTTTGGCTGTTATGAGGCAGCGTTCAAAGCTGGCCTCCGCTTCCCCCTTCACCAAGCGGTGCAGGCAATTTTAAGAGGCTACGACCTTGGGGTCTGGCAACTTACCCCCAACTCCTGGACCAACATTCTGGGGTATGTTGCCGCCTGCGAGTTCCAGGGGCTTAACCCCGGCTGGGAGGCTTTTGCAAGCATGCACTATCTTAGCAGAAGCCCAGGCGGCTGGCGGGCGTGGTACACTCTAACCACGCAGCCGCAATATATGATG